ATCACATGTTCCAGCTTTGTAATAGACGCAAAGGACCGTCTTGGGGTCTGGAACTGGATTAGCTTTGTTTTCTTGGTCCTGGGAAAGGAAAAGGGGAGCATAGCGGCGGGATATACGAGTTTCATGAAGGGATAAAGGCTCAAATAGTTCGAGTTAGAGAGTTCTTGTAAAGAAATACATACCGACTCCAAAAGGTACCTTCTGTGCAGCTTGCACGGGCTTAAACAATTCGGCCTCCTCTATTATAAGAACCCGAGCGTTGCAGACCCGTGTATTGAGAGCCCGTTGATCGAGTGTAGGGTAGCGTACAGTTGACATAGGTCGTGGGTTTGATGTTACCCAGTAACAAGATCAGATCCATTGGAGGGGAGGGGATAGTTCGAAGATGATCAGCTCATACACCACCTGATACGATGAGAAATCACCTTTCTTTCTCTTCTCTTCTGCCGCCTTCTCCTCTCCAGTTAAGCTCGACCCAGCTGCCGACATTGAACCTGAAGCCTTAATTGGTGGTGTCGACGAGCACAGCGACGTGGTAAAAGGCAGTAACGACGAGTCACACTCAGCGAACCTTGGTATCCGGAAATACTGGGAGATGGTTTTCTCGCCATTTCGAAGTCGGCAAAGGTGAGTTTAATCCTCATAACCCTGAAGTCGGAAGTTGTCAGGCTCTGTTGAAAACGACCTAGATATGAAGGTGCTCTGGTTTTCAACCTGTGTGCATTCGTCCTTCCAGCTCTTTATGGGACACTCAGCAAATTATGGGTCGCAAACATTGACTCGAGCCAAGTCGTCACCACGGACGTTTACACTTACATCAGTGTGATCGTCGAAGTGATCAATGAGGGTCTTCCTCGTGCATCTTGGCTCATCATCGGTGATAAGGCATCCCGTAGTATCTCTTCAAGACTCCAATTGTCCTATACTTTGATCGGTGTTCAGATGATTCTGGGTACATTACTCTCGGTGATCTTTCTGGGGGCATCGACCCGACTTGCGGTCCTCTTTGTACCCTCTGCCGTTCGAGATGCATCTCTCAAATACGTTCGTATTTCCGCCTTCTCCGCATTGGCATCCGCAATGGAGTATTCCGTGTCGTTAGCCACTCGTGCCCTGGATCGACCAGACGTTCCGCTTTTGATCAGCTCTGTCAAATTTCTCATCAACATTATACTCGACTTGCTACTCATCTCAAAAGTCCATGTTCGTGGAGTGACACCCACCGTCAATATGCAGGCTGTCATACGGCTCTGCTGTGATCTGACCGCATCCTTTGTTGGCCTCCTCTACTTTATGTACCGCAACAAACAGGTCCGTAGGCGCGTAGAAGATGAGACGATTAGGCCATCCTTCTCCGCTCTCAAAGTATTAGCTCGGCCAGGTGTTTTTACTTTTGCAGAGTCGGCAGTTAGAAATGCACTTTACCTCTGGTTGGTGCACGGAATCATCAGCATGAGTGCCGACTATGCAACTGCATGGGGAGTGTTCAATACAATAAGGTGGGGTCTGGTTATGGTTCCCGTCCAAGCATTGGAGGCGTCCAGCTTGGCTTTTGTTGGGCATAGGTGGGGCTCATGGCGAGCGAGCAAGGGGCCAGATGATCGAAGTGCAAAAATGACAAGAGAAGAGCTTCTCAGTAAGCCGGAACTACATACAGACCTAGGTTTTGTAGCTAACTTTCCGACTAACAGGAATCGTAGAGCCAGCCTTCAAGTCCGTTGGTCTGGCTTTGGTAGTCGAAGTCCCTCTCTGTATCTTCTTCTCTATATGGGGTGCCAAATCATTTGCATTCTATCTCTCCGAATCTGATGCAGTGGCGAAAATTACTGGTACTATGTGGAAGGTAACAAAATCAGTGCCTTGTCGTTTGATACTGTAGACTAACCACCATCGCTTCATTGATGTAGACCATTGACTGGTGTTATATCTTTTATGCTGTCTCAACGCAGTTGGCAACGATACTACTCGCGACGATTCCTCGGTGGTATCTCTACCAGAGCCTGGGCTCAAACTTGCTTTGGGTCCTGCCATGGGCTATCGCCGTGGAGAAGATCAAAATGACTGCCGACAACGCATGGAAGTATCACTCCATCATCTTTGGAGGGAGTTTGGTTGTCAGTTTCTTCATTATTATTTTCGTCGATCTTCTTTGGGCATGGAAATTGCTAAGGGGCAGAATGACCTTACCTCCGGTATCGCAGGTAGGAATCTGATTCAAATCCAATTTTAGAAATAGTCGGTTTCTTCATATGATTGCCGTCGAATGTCCATACAAAGTGTAGAATATGCAAAGTTCCTACAAGAATCGTTTGCTCGATCGGTTCGGCCAATAAAGTCAAGTTTACATATCGAGGGTGTTCTTCTATCTATTAGTAACCTGTGAGGGCGTAAGGACAGTGGCCATGATGCGCAATATTGATTCAAAGGAGACATACGGCCACTCACACGTACTTAATTTCTATTGTGGCTGAAGAGAGACGAGACAGAATGGCCCAGTGGTCACCATGCATTCTGACAAGATATAGTATATCTAGATTTTTGGCGTTGATGGGCTCACTTGAAGGCGTGTAGAGGCCGCCCTAGCTTGCGGTTTGTGCGCGCGGCCAAGAAGATAAGGCAGCGCGCAAAACAAATAAAAACTCTCCAACTTGACCTCCGCATAATTTTGTTATCCGCCCTAATCGTTTCAATTCCCTTACATTCACGTCTTGCACGACATTTTTTAATCTTACAACCGCATTCTCTTGGAATTTAGCGGCGAAGACGCATTCGGCACATCCGGAGCACCGAACCAACATCGCACAAGTTGGGTAGCGTAGAACGTCAGGAGGCCGTCATCAAGGTATAAATCACCTATATGCGTGTGATATACCTAGCTAACCTGCTTTTTGTGTCCCTGAAGTACTCCTTAACCCCTTGAGGGATGGCAACCCGAGCACGCTCTTCCTCGATTCCTTCCCTAGCAGATGCCCAGTATGCCATAGATAGTGCCCGCAGGCAACCAGCTAGAAGAATAGCATCGTACACCATCCTAGTCGCTTTCATCACCGTCTTCTTGATCCTCGGGTTCGGGAGTGGATACTCCAAAGACTGGGAAAACATTGAGCTTGGTCTTTCAAAAGGTCAGTCATCTCCTCATCCTTATTTCCACCGAACTGGTATCTCAAGTTCACCCTCTGCTCTGTGGACTGCTCCATTCTCGACCGTTCTTGACACCATGCTAACATACCTTTCGTTCACTGCTCGTATCAACCACCATGGGAATCCATAATACTGGTAATAATTGGCCGACACGTCGCCCTTGCGCCCTCTGTTTCCGGTTGATTGGCGCGCGCAAATGTGATTCATTCCGTTTCACAAACCCCGACTCGACGTAATCCATCATATGTCAACGGCCCAAAGACTTCCCGAACTTTGAGCGGATACCGGGTGATGGAATACGGACCATAGCGGGAGAAGAATTACGAGAAACGCGCCATAAGCGGTTCATCGTCGTTGGAGATATCCATGGGATGCACAGCAGCTTCAAGTAGGTTTGGCTTCTCATATCCGGCCACCATATCTCAGTTTGCTCACGAACGCCATTCTTATTTTATAGGAAAATTCTGTCTTCTGTGTCTTACTCTGAATCATCCGACTATCTGATACATGTCGGCGATTTGGTGGCCAAAGGCCCCTCATCACCCCAAGTTCTAAACAATCTATCCCAGACAAATGTCACCGGTGTGAGAGGAAATCACGATCAGAAGGTTATCGAATGGAGGGCCTGGATCGAGTGGGTCCAATCTCACAAAGGCGGAAGAGCTTGGCTCCGTGACATGGAATCAAAGACACCGGAAGAGCTCGACGATCTCAAGCGTAAATCAAATAAGCGCAAATGGAAGATCCCAGATGGTTGGAAGTTTGGTGGAGAGCATTATTGGAT